ACTAATAAAAAATAAAGAATTCTGATTGGTCAGATTGATTATTATGTATAAAATAAATAATTTTGATTGGTCAGATTGATTATTATGTATAAAATCTACATGTATATAAAATTTGGCGTTATGGCGCAGTATTGGATGTCTTGCTATAATCATTATTACGTAATAAAAAATGACATCACAAAAAATTTGTCAATTGTTTTGATATAAATTTATGGCTGGGATTACTAAAATATGATTACTTCTTTCCTTTTATCTGTGAAGGTTGTGGAACAATCAGTCGAAGGAATATATGAAGTCGTGATAATAAAAATAATAATTTCAAAGGTTTGCTCGGTTCCGGCCCAGCATTATAACCATCGCCTTTCTAGGAATATGTTGCTATAATATATATTTACTTGTATATAACACCAACTCTTATTAATATCTTGTCGATTATCCATGCGTCACAAAAACCTGACACAGGCTTGGTAAATGCAACAATTCTTAAAGCCGAACGCGACGTGTTGATTTCACGTGAGACTGTAAGGTGAGTACTTTCGCGTTTATTTTTCGGGTTAATATTAGCTCGTTTTATGGAATGGCTAGTTCCACCGGTAGAGGGTGTTGGGCACGGTAATTCTCTTGCAATCTCTTTGTGGATTGCTCAATTTAACGGATATAATGATAGAAGAGAGTTTACAATAAGTAAAATTTATGGAGAAAATTCTAAAATTAAAGTTAAGTATGGCTTTTTACTTATACTTATTAATAATTCGAATGATGAATCATGTAAAATCAATCTGATTAGGGCTGTGACAGGTATTTAGGGGATACTGACAGTGTCATAGAGTCACATGCTTCAAATATCCTACCCGGGGGGATGAGGGTGGGCTCTATAGTAAACCTGTAATATTTGTCACAATCCTTATTTTATTGAACAATTCTTAGTAGAGATCAGAAACTGGTTGCTGAAAAACTTCGTCTCCAGTAGGCCATACCCGAAGAGCTTCGTCCTCACGTCGGGGCCAGATACTGGTTTATTGAACAGAATATGTTTAATAAAATCTGATGCATAATTTTTTGATTTGATTATTTGAATATGGTTTTTCTGATCCAGAATTTCTTTGATTATTCGAATGTTTCAGTATTCTGACTAAGCTTATCTATTGTTAATAATTATATTATTAAAGGTATATACTAATACTAATTAACTTCGTATTATTATAGGAATTAATAAAAACATGGAGTTAATGTGGAGGTTGTGGAACAATCGAAGAATATATGAAGTCGAGATAATAATAATAATTTCAACGATCCTTGAAGGTCTGCCCGGTTCCGGCCCAGCACTAAAGTCATCGTTTTTCTAGGAATATTTTGCTATAATATATATTATATAACCCAACTCTTATTAATATCTTTTCGATTATCCATGCGTCACGAAAAACCTGACACAGGTTTGGTAAATGCAACAATTTTTTAAAACCGAACGCGACGCGTTGACTTCATGTGAGACTGTGAGTACTTCCGCGTTTATTTTTCGGGTTAGTATTAGTTCGTTTTATGTGAGGCTAGTTCCACCGGTAGAGGGTGTTGGGCATGTTAATTCATATGGATCTTTTTACATAGTCACAGCAAATTAGTGTACTATTTAGGGCTGTGACAGATATTACGTAATATCCTGGGGGAGGGAGTACTTATGTAATATATAGTCACATGCTTCAAATATCTTACCTGGGGGAGGGGTGGGCTCTATAGTAAACCTATATTACATAATATATGTCACGGCCCTTACAAGCTACAAGTTAAACTACTCTTTTTAACCTTTATTTGACACTTTTTTTTATAGTGTCACTTGATGCCTACAGTTCGTGATCCCGCTAGATTCTATTGTACGCGATCTTCTAAAGGATTTAAGATTCACGCTGGCTTGCAACGGTACGAGACATCTAAACACACCTACCAAATCACATTCAACAAGTACCAGAATCTGAGCTTCGTCATCTGAAAAACGTTATAATCAAGAAATTACAAAAGAGACTCAAAACCATTATCTTGGTATTGGGGAGCAAGTGTTTCATTACATTGTAGGAAGGCGCGTTTGGAGCTTATATTACGCGTTATTCGCCTTGTGGTTCTTTTATCTTTGCAGTTTTAAGGGAAATGGTCAATGGCGTTTTATATGCAAGAACAAAAAAACACGTTATAAACAAATGATTCGCCGCAATATAATGAAGAAAACGGTAAACTGCCGATAAGGAAACCCATCTTCAAACTGGAAATGATTACAGAATGGAGGGTAACGGGATTCAAAGATAAGGCAAATCATGAACATAGGGCGGGAGCACTCCAAATTCGCTTTTTTTAGATAAATATGTAAATAAACATGGTTCTTCTTGAATAAAGCTTTACCCGAAATAAAGTTGCTAGAATAAGCATTCTTAGACCAGATTCATGAACATCATCTCTAATAAATAAATTATCTTTTAATTGTTACATATTTTTTATTAATTATGAACATGAGTTGGAAGAGGAAATTAATGATAAAGTACATAATGTTATCAAATCAAAAAATTTTCACTCAAGAACCAATCAAGCAATTTGATTGGTTCTTGAACAGAAATTTTTGATTTAATAATATTATACACTTTATCCTTAAAATAATAATATATAAATATATAGTTCAAAATAAAGTAAAATATAGAAATAAATATTATTTTAATTTTAATTAAAAATATTCTAATTCTTTATACTAATTTATACATATATTTTAGAACTAAACAAATAATATCAAAAATAATGAAAATTCTTTTACTTCATTCTAGAATTAAATTAGTTCTGATAAAATTAATTTATATAAACTAATTTTTGAACTGATTTACATAATTTTTATTTATTCTTTAAAATTAGTCTGAATTAAACCAATTATATTATTTAATTTTTATATAAATTTGCATAATTTTGTATAAAAAATGATAATTTTTGAAAACAAATCAAAGAAAATAAAATAAATAATCTTTTATTTGTAAGAATTAAAAATTATTTTTTTTCTATTAATAAATATAATAATTATTTTTTTATGATAATAATCATTTTTTATAATAATAATTTATAATAATACCAGGAATTTTTTTTATTTAATAATATAATATACTCTACTCTTAAACAAAGAAAAAAATATTATTATAGTACTGGTTAGAAATAATCTATCCCTATAATTTTTTGTAAATTATATTTAATATATCAAAATTTTCTGAATATAAAAAATATTACAAATACTGATCATTAATATTTTTTATAAATTAATAAAATTTCTATATTAAATATTATATATTTATAAAATTTTATGTTCCAAATACAATAAATCAGTCACTTTAAAATATAATATCTCAATATTTAATAATCCAATTTAAGTAAAAATACTATTATTTAATTTATTTAATCAAGCCAAATCAAATAGTAATATTTTCATTCAAATTAAATTATTAAATATCAAGATATTATATTCTAAAGTGACAGATTCATATTTATTAATTAATTTTTTATTAGAAATTGATCACTAAAAAAATAAATTGATTAATTTAGAATATAATATCTTAATATTTAATAATTAATTTAAACAAAAATAAATTACTTGATAAATGGAGAAAAAAATAATATTCTCTATCTAATAGCATCAAAAGCAAAAACAGTTGCTGGATTTGCTTAGTTTTCTTTTTGTTGGATATATCATTTGATTTGACTATTTAAGTTAAATTAAATAATATATATTATATTGGATTACTGAAAATTAAAATATCATATTCTAAATTGACTAATTAATTTTTGTTAATATTAATTAGTTATTTTAGGATACAATATTTTGATATCTTATAATCTGATTTGAACAAAAATATTATTATTCAATTTATCTTGACTAGATAAATTAAATGATAATATTTTTGTTCAAATTGAATTACTAAATGCTAAAAATTAGATTATTAAATATTAAAATATATATTATAAAATAACTGATTATATTTGAAATGTAAAAGTTTATAAATATATAATATCTGATATAGAAATTCTATCAATTTATAAAAAATATCAATAATTAGTATTTGTAATATTTTTTGTGCTTGGAAAATTTTGGTATATTAAATATGATCTATAGAAAGTTATAGAAAATATATTACTTCTAATCAGCACTATATATATTTCAAAATATAAAAAATAAATAAAATAAATAATATTATAATTTTAATCAAATAACATTTTAATTTCTTGTACTAGTATTATATATTTTAGAGTTAAACAAATAATATTATTAAAAATAATAAAGATTCTTTTACTTTATTTTAATATTAAATTAATTCTAAAACCAATTTATAAATTAATTTTTGAATTAATTTATATAATTTTTAGTCTTTAATTTTAGAACTAATTTAAATTTAACCAATTATATTAATTATTAATTATTTAATTCTTATTAAACTTTATATAATTTTATATATAAAATAATTTTTAAAAGCAAATTAAAAAAAATGAAAAAATTAGTCTTTTATTTATAAAAACTAAATATTATTATTTAATATAGTTAATATAGTTAAATTAATAAATTTTAATTCTTTAATTTTAGCTCATAATTTTATAATTAATAATTTGTTTATTTTTTTATAATTTATTTATTTAATTTTTTGCTTACCAATTATAATTTCTGGCAATTTTTAGTTTTATATATTTTTTATAATTTTTAGTAATTTTATTTTTATATACTTCTTTTTTATCTTTATTTTATAATATTTAACTTGCAAAATTATAAATATCTTAATATTAACTTGTATTATAACCAAAATAATATTAACTTAAATAAAAAATTTCTTTTCACATCTCTCCCATATCGATCTCTTAATCAGAGAGAGGAAACAAACTGAAAAGTGCGAAAACGCTTCCTTTAACAACTCATCAAACAAATCTATCACGACTATAATCTTTCTTCTTTTTTCAAATTTAATTTTCTTTTATCTGTTTTTTCTTATAAAAAACATAAAAACCAAAAATTTCTTAAAAGTACTCAAAAAATTAAAAATTTTACAAAAATAAACTTCTCTTTTTCTTTTTTTTTTTCTCTCTATACATACATATCAAAATTACCTTTACATTCATATAAAACTAACACAAACTAACTAACATATCTAACAAAAAAATAACAGCTCTACTAATTCTCCCTTCTCTATCTTAAGTCGCATTATAGAAATCATAGGCATTTCATTACATTAAGAAAATACCAAGCGACAAACTCCTATTAACACATTCAGCAACACTTCAGATGCACTTTTTGAATTCAAAAAAGGCAACATTCAATTCAAACTATACTTACGAACAAGCAAACCACTCACGCACTTTCAGACAAAAAAAATCAAATACACTTATACAACAGAAATGGAAATTTCCTCTGACGATAATGAGTCAACAACATCAGAATTGGCAGAATACACGACATTCAATGATATTACATCTAATATGGATACAGAAATCAACAACATCATCATTACAATATCATTATCTAATATAGAAAATCAAATAATACCCACATCCAACACATTTAAATCAAATTCAATATTATATAACAAATATGTAAATAATCAATTCAACTTGCATTCATCTATTTATTATCCCAAAAATCAGTATTCCAGAAATTAACATTAACAGACACTATTACCTGAATGGGAAATAGTCACTAGTACAAAAAGATATCACGCATGAATCGCTGAACAAGCACTCTCTGAAAAGGATACTAAAGCTAATATTAAATTTGTTAATTTACACTTCCATCAAATGCAAGGTTTCATCAAATCCAAATTCATCACTTATGACAAACTCAAATATATTTGTTTGGAATTTTTGAATATAAAAGCTCTCGATAATGCAACTAATACAGAAATTAACAAAATCTATATCACCATCACAAGTCCTATTCCTCTCTCTATCACAAAACCAGAACTCACTGTCACT